TGAAGACTGCCCCCTTTCTGATCAGACACCAGGGGCTGGACCCCAGGATGAAGACAAACTTGCATTCTGCAGCAGCTCGGTGTTTGGGCTGCCCACGCTCCTGGACTCCACGCTAGGATCCCTGAAACTGCTGTCTCTCAAGGAGATGCCCACTCTGGCCAACCTCTGGGGTTGTCAATGGAGTGTGTCACCAGTCAGCAGCCCCTCCCCTTCCTGAACAAACTAGATTTTAAAACTGACCTGGATTTACACAGGAGTTTGACACAGTGTGAAGCTCTCCTACCCCGGCCCAGCTTCCCCCATCACTAACATATTACATCAATGTATTTGTTACAATTGGTGAGCTATACTCGAAACATCATTGCTAATTAATACTCATACATCATTGCGGTATCAATCACATCTCCTTTTCAGACTTTCCTTGGTTTTGACCTTAACAGTTCAGGAGAATGCCGGTAAGGTATTTTGTAGACTATTCCTCAGCTGGGATTTGTCTGATGTCCTCGCCCTTCTGTTTTTAAGTCACGGAGACTGGCTCCCTCACCCTTGGCTGGAACAGCCCTCACTAAGTCTGAGGCCATGCAGGAAGAGCCTGCAGGCATCTCTGTGGAGTGTTGTCAGGCCTGAGAAGCCCGGAGTGGAACAATCCTTCATTGACAGACCAGGAAGCCATTTTTGGCCTCCACGCCCCCTTTCCTGGGGAGATTTTCTGCACTGCACACCAGTGCCAGCAGCAGCAACCCCTTCCCACGTGAATTTCCTGCTCTACAGGTCCACATGCAGACAGTCTTTCCTATTGTTCTGCGAAACCTCTGCAGCCACAGGTTGCTGAACAAACGAATCGAGTTCTGAATTTCTTGGGTTAGTCCATCAAGGGCCTCTCTGAGAAGTTAGCCAGAAGATGTACTTTCAGAGTCTCCGGGAGCCCTGTGAGGAAGCCCTGACCCAAGGCAGTGTAGAATACACGTGCTCTATACGAAGATTCTCTGGATGATTGTTCCTTATACCTTTCCCTGAATGGGGGGTCTGGTGGAATAGAATGTTTGTTTAACCAAGTAAGGATGTGTTTCATTTGTTTGTGTGGCAGAATAATTGTTTAACTATGTAAAGATGTGTTGCATTGTTTATGCTGCATTTGTTTAACTATGCAAAGATGTGTTGCTGTTTTACCTTGCCTGCCTAAGGCACCTGATTGGTCTAATAAAAAGCTGAATGACCAATAGGTAGGCAGAGGAAGTACAGGCGGGGCTGGTGGGCAGAGAGAAAAGGGGAGCCAGCCGGCCACGGAAGTAGGATGGACAGTACCTGGATGTGGTAAATGAGCCTCGGGGCAGCACATGGATTAACTATAGAAATGGGTTAATTTAAGTTTAAGAAGAAAAAAAAAAGGCTAGCTGGAAACAAGCCTAAGCTAAGGCCAAGGATTCATAATTAATAATAAGTCTCCATGTCATGATTTGGGGGCTGGTGGTCCAAGAAAGCCTGCTGTGGAGGAAGAGGGGAGCAGGGAGAGACACCCGCAATTCTCAGGTTGGTTGAGTGCCAGGTTCTGACATTAGTAGCTCTTGGCTCATCGTGGCCTAGGATGACCATTTCAGCCTATGGTGTCCTTCTACACCATAGTTTCTGTGATGGCTACTATTAGTCACCTTGATACAAGTCCTTTATGAAGAGGGAACCTCAATCGAGAAAATGCCCCATCAGATTGGCCTGTGGACAAGTCTGTGGTGTATTTTCTTGGTTGATGTGAGAGGGTTCAGCTCTCTATGGGTGGTGCCACCCCTGGTCCGGTGGTCCTAGGTTCTATAACAAAGCAGGCTGGGCAAGCCATGAGGTAGCAAGCCAGTGAGCAGTGCTACTCCATGGTCTCTGCATCAGCTGCTGCCTCCAAGTTCCTGCCTCCAGGTCCCTGCCCTGTCTAAGTTCCCACCCTGACTTCCTTTGATGGTGAACTGTGATATGGAAGTGTAAGCCAAATAAATCCTTTCCTCCCCTCTCCCCCAAGGTACTTTTTTGGTTATGGTGTTTCATTATAGCAATAGAAACCCTGAGACAGTCTCCTTGGTCAGTCCTCTGTGCCTCCCTTTTACACTCTGTGAAATGGGATACTGCTGAACTTGGAGACTGTAGAGAGGCGTAGGTGAGGCTAAGCCAGAAGGATTAGTATTTATAATTATTATTACCATTCCTGTAACGTTGATCTCATCACCAGGTATTGGCATGGCCTACTTCCCATTTTGCGTGCTGTGACATGCCTTTAAACCAGGGTGGAAGACATCTAGGATCCATATTATCGGAAGGACCGGCCACAGAGGAGTATTTGTAGGTCAACTGAGGTGCAGGATGGAGTTGAAACTCAAAATCACCTGGAGGATGGGGTGGTACCTTGGCCTGTCTGATTTGCCTAGACTGAAGAGTAGGGGGGGTGGGGAGGTGGGGGGACCCTTCAGCTTGTCAGGGAGGTCCCTGTACCCTTGTGCTGAGCAGCATTTCAGACCACAGGTAGCCCAGTGTAGACACTGAAATCAATGTAATGTGGTGTGACAAAGGGACAGGGAAGCTGTGTTTGGCTACACTTGTGCCTGTAACCTCAGCACTGTGGAACACAGAAGAGAAAATGGCTAGGCCTTGCTACCCACTAATCTAGCCCAAACAGCAAGCTCTGGGTTCAGCAAGAGATCATGTCTCAAGGGTCTCCTTTTTCTGCCCCCGCTTAAGGGTTAGCAGTTAAGGAGACAAATATGAAAAAGTTGGGCTTGGTGCCATATACTTATAATCCGAGCACTGAGAAGGCAGAGGCAAGGAAATGGCTGCATGTTTGAGGCCAGCCGGGTATAAATAGAGAGTTCCAAGCCAGCCGGAGCTACATAGCAAGATCCTATCTCAAAAATGTAAAACAACAAAAAACAGGAGGTTCGAGAGATCATCTGCTCAGGAGTAAAGTGCTCGCCATGGGAGCAGGAGGGCCTGAGTGTGATTCCCAGGGCCGACAGAGAGGGCCGGGAATGTGTCCTGCATTTGTAATCCCAGTGCGGGGAGGTGGAGACGAGGAGATTCTCGGGGGCTGACTGGGCAGCTAATCTCCTCTAACTGAAGAGCTCCGAGCCAACGAGAGACCCTGTCTCAAAAAAGCAAGGAAGATGGCTTCTGAGAAACAACGCCTCGGGGTTGTCCTCTGGCTTCCACACAGGCACACCCACATGCGTGTGCACCTGTGACAGCATATGTACCCACATAGGAATACACACATGCATCCATATGAACACACCTGCATCCACACAAGATAACGGAACAAATCCAGCAGCCCCTGAAACCACACAAGCAAGGAGACATGACTCAGTGTCCGAGCTGAGGAAGCGGGTCAGGCGGAGAGGGACTGGGGGGTGGCTTAGGAACTTGGCCTTGGACAGAGGAGTAAAGGTTCTGTCTGATGTTCCACGGAAGCATGTGTCACCACTAAGTTCTGTAAAGCCCAAAGGGCCAGAGCAGGAGGCGGCAGCCAGGGGCTACCTGGACCTGAAGCCATTTGCTCAATCCTTAGAACATTCCTTCTTCCCCTCAGGGCAGAATGGAGTGTCCTTGACCCCGCTACCCCGCATGTCCTGACTGACCCTCTAAGCTCTCCAAGCTCACCAGCACCGCGGGGACTCTGGGATCTATCTGCCATCACAGGTCTCTTTTATTGTACCCCCGCCAGTTCCTCTGTTCTTTTCCCAGCTTGGAGTATCCCCAGCCTTTGTCTTCCAGCCCCTCACCCCCAGCCGTCCCTTCCTACCTGTAGACATCAGGGGCATGTGTGTATGCCTCTCTCTCGGGCTCCTCTATAGCAAATCTTCCACAAGTAACTGTCCGCTGCCCACTAAGAGGAATTCCCAGGCAGGACTCTGGCTACACTTCCACTGCTTACTAGAGTGCCACAGACCCTCCCCTCCCCCCTCCAACCCCCACCCCAGGCTGGGGATGAATCCAGAGCCTTGCACACGCTGGGCAAACACTCCACCCTGTGCCACACACTCCCAGTCCCTGGTGGTGGTTACTATGATGTCATTGAACAAATAAGTAGAAAGAAAGAGCATTCTCCACAAATCTTTGTGGGGGGTCTATGAGCCATGAAGGGTCCAGGGAACAAGGTGAAGAAGACACGGGACCAAGTCAGAAGCCTCAACAGCTTCCTTGAGTGGCAGACGGGTGGGCGGGGCTGCCTCTGCGCCGCAGAACAGGTTGTGGCTGCTCCCTCAACTTTTATTGCCCTGGCTGTGCGTGGGCTGTGGGAGCCTGGCTCCTGTCCCCAGGGCACCTTAAAGGAACTTCAGTACCTCAACTCCAAGTTCAAAGGTGGGAATGCACAAGGTGTGTCTGAGGTGTGGGGAAAAAAAAGAGCAGAGTCAGGGGAGGAGGGGGAAGGTTGTTGCCGAGAGCCAAGTAGGAACAGTAAGGAGAGGAGGACGGGGAGCTGGGGGGACAGTTTATCTGAGGCAGAGAGGGACCACCAGAGGGAGGGTGGGCCACGGCCCCTTACCCCTATAATGGCGTGCAAATTTACAAAGAAGACCCCAGCTTCCGTCGGTCTCCACGGTGCCACGGCCAGGAGCAGGCAGCGGACAGGCACGGTGCTAGGGAACAGCTTGCGAGCGGGTTTTGGGGGGACGCCGCGCTGGCAACGCTGTGCGTGAATGGAGTCTCACTAGCTTTGCTGGTGAAAAACATGTTCCATGGCAAGAGAATGTGTAAATATTTGAAATCTGACATGTGGGTGTTTAATAGGATTGCCTGCCTCTCTGTAGAGGAGTTAGACGTGTTGACTTCTAATAGAGGTGGGCCCTGAGTTAATACAGAAGCCTAGGAGTTCACAGGCAAGTACCCGCTAGCCGCATGGCTTCCTTCGCTGAGCCCCACAGCCGGCTTTGACTCCGCCAGCCAGAGGCTCTCTGTCCTGCCTCTCCTCCCATTCCAGGTTGTGCTGGGTGCTGGGTCATCGATTTACTCATTCCACAAATATTTTCTTGAACGCTGACTACTGTGCCAGGGTGTGAGTCACGCCTAGCCTTGACCTCAAATAAACCGCATGCCGCAAGGGACAGAGATGGGGAGTCAGGGGGCAGCAGCTTGTGGCTGAGAGCATCCGCGTTGGGGCAGGAGGGCGACTCATAGGCCTAGGTCATCTCTGCACCCGTGGAGGGGAAGCAACCAAGGGAGCCCATGGATTTCTGAGCCCAGATGCCTCCTGGCCTCGTTGAGTCTGACTCTTCCCATCCGTGGAGGTGAGTCTCACATCAGGCCTCCGCAGGGTTGAGGATCAACCACTATCAGCTTAGAGCGTCTTCTTCCTTTTTATTCCAGGCTCTAGGACACAGAGGGAGAGGAGCTGGCCTGAAGAGACAGAATAGTCGAGTCTGTTTCTGAAGATGTAGGAAATGGAGGGGTGGTTCGTGGTTAAGAGCACCTGTTGCTCTTGCAGAGGACCCAGGCGTGGGTCCCAGCACCCACGTGGCAGTTTCACAACCATCTGTAACTCCAGTTCCAGGGGATCCAACACCCTCTTCTGACCTCTGTGGCACCAGGCTCACATGTGGTGCACAGACCTACATGCAGGCAAAACATGATACATATAAAATACATTAAAAAAAATGTCAAAGCAAAAAGAATGACATCTGTCCCATTTGCCAGGGATGTTCCCCTGAATCAGCCACCTGGAGATACCTCTTCTGATCTCCTTTTAGCTAACATCTGTGCCCAGATCTCCAGGGAAGAGTGCCTGGAGAGGAGACCCCGTTCCCCACTGCGGTCACAACCCTCACACCTTGGCTGCTGAAAGGGTGCATGGGTCAGAACTGTCTTGATAGTCAGGGGTAAGTAAGGGGACTGGGCATCACAGTGAAGCTGGGTCTAGTGGCTCACAGCTATAATGCTAGCACTCAGGAGGCTGAGGCAGGAGGATTTATGAGTTCAAAATCAGCCTGGGCTATAGAGTGAGTTCCAGGCTTATCTCACAAAAAGAAAAAAAGTATGGAAATAGGTGGTGGGTGGTGGGGTATGGGTGTGGGCTCATCTGGTTGGAAAAACTGGCAAATCTAAAACCTGCAAGGCTGGGGGGCAGCCTGGGAAGTGTCCAGTTTGATGTACTGGCAGACCTCCCTAAGGAGGGGGATGGTTCTGGACATAGACTGTTCTTGGACTCAGTTCCACTATTTGGATGATGCCCACTCTCATTACAGAGAGGAAACTGCTTTAAGCAAAGCCCACTGATTTAAATTCTAATCCTACCCCAAATACACCCTCCCAGAAATATCTGAATAAAAATTAAACAGCTGCATATTGTGACCTAAGCAAGATAACACAATTACCTATCCCAGGTCTTGCCTCTGGTTCTAGCTTTCCCCATTATTGAGAGAGGCTGGGGGTAGGGTGGGGATGAGCCTTGCACAAACCGGGAATGAGGGTGCAGCCTCTCCTCCCCACATACCCCCACCTAAGGGGCCTACCCACTCCTTCTTTCCTCCTGCTTCTTGCTCTAGGTTTTAAGTAGATTTAGTAGAGCATATAACTGAAGCCGCTCAGCTTGGTCTGGGAGCCTTCCTTTCCTGTGACCTCTGGAATGGCTTACCTGGTAACATACTTGATGATACTATTTACAAGATAATTTGCCACACTCCATCACCCAAAGACCTGGCATTGGCTTCACGGTGACACTCTTCTATGTCTTACATGCTGCCTTCTTACTGTCTGAAGGTCCTGGGTAACGGAGCCATGAAACTTAACACGACGTATGCTGGGCCTGTGGGGTTTCCTCTTTTATTAATGTTTAACAGTGTTCTATAAATAGTAGTGTTTGGGGGGAGGTCAGGTGTGAAAGATGCTATGGGATTACCTCTGTTCTGAGTAGTGGGTTACCCGGAAGTCCAACAGCGCCAGGCAGAGGCTCTGCCTTCTGGCAGGTGCCCACAGATCCATCTCCATCCCACTTTCTCCTGTAGGAGCCCAACCTCAGCCCACCACCCATGTCCATCAAGGTTGGGGAGGGAGTCTCTGCTCTCCAGATGTTTACAAGGTGGGTACTAGAGGGGAGTGGGCACAGTTAGGGTCCTTAAAAACAGGAACTCAGGGCTGGAGAGGTGGCTCAGCTGTTAGGAGGACTTCCTGTTCTTCCACAGAACCCGACATCAGTTTCTAGCACCCATGTTAGAGGCTCACAACCGCCTGCAACTCCCATTCCAGGTGGCCTGAAACCCTCTTTTCTGGCCTCCATGAGCATGCTCGCAGAGAGACACGCAAACACACATGATTAAAAAATAAAACAAACCTTAAAAACAAATTCAGGGACTTATTAAAAAATTCCCCATCATCTATATCAAGTCTGGAGCACTGTAGGTACTGAGGAGCACTATTAGCTGACTAGAAGAGTTGAGGAGCGCCTACTGATAGGCCCCATGAAAGATTATTTCACACACACACACACTTTCACACACACACACACACACACACACACACACACACACACACGCACACGCACACGCACACGCACACACCCATTGCAAATACGAACATAGCTCCCTAGAAACTGCTGTGCATAGAGACAAAACTGTCAGTATTACTGCAGTGCACCTGAAGAGTTACACTGGCTTTTTCCAATCGATCCAGCAGAATTACTGGCACATATAACTTTATTTTCCTTTAGGAAATGTGTTACTGATCTTAAAGAAGCTACTTCTTCATAAATTGAGAACCTCTTGTCCCTGCCATCCCCATTGCCACCTGACTCTTAGCCTCTTGCTGGTGAGTGACAGGAAAGGGTTCTGGTCCCTCCATCCACCCACAGTCTCATCCACCGTCCCTCCTGCAGTGTGCTCCGAGGATGTTGTGACACCCCAGGGCGGAAACTGTTCTTGTTTTCACACTCCTCAATGTACACTCTCAGCCCTCAGTTAATTGTGAATGCAAGAGATGGAGCAATCATCTCACTGTTTCTTGGAGACACACATTTTTCAGCTCACACTTTCTTCCTAGGGTGTGGGAGATCCTGTCGTGAAGGCAGTGATGGAGAAGAGTGTGTGGCAGCCATGTTCACAGCCACTCCAACACACACACACACACACACACACACAGACACACACACACACACCCTTAAGTGAGCCGGCCAAGAGTGGCTTTCTTCCTCCCTCAAGTTATCCTGTCTAACATTTCCTTCGCTCTCATCGGGAGAGGGGCTCCTGCCCTTCAGAGTGTTGTGGATGCAGAAGACGCTCAGTTAATTAGACAATGTCTCCATGAATAAACGTGCAGAATGTTAACTGCTGGGCTTCCAATAGCAACGGGCTCTGCATTCTTTTTCCCTTTTAATCCATTATGAAAACCTTTTAAAGAGTAGCCTAGGAAACAAATTCTGGAGGATATTTTTCAGCCTTGTGTATGAGAGTCAGACCAGCAGTTTCAGGCTAGGGATAATTTGGGTTTTCATGACTGGAAGGGAGGGGTATAAACTAGAGTCAATGCTAACCCGAGTATGGCACAAAGGGCCCCTACAGCAAACAATTACAGTGTTGAGGGTAAAATTCTCTAAATGAAGTGGATATTTGGTCTGTCGCTATTATGCTGTCGTCTGGGGGAAGCAAACTCTCAGCAACTGTTAGCAGGCATCATGTGTGCAGACTGAAATACCTGCCAGGGCAAAGGGCTTTTCTGACGGCTGGCTTCTGATACAGGTTTTCATGCCACGATTTAAGAATTTTTGACTTTTCCCTCAAGTGTGATCTCTCACTTTTAACTTTTTTTTTTTTTATTCACACATGAATCAAGTTTTTATTACTCTAGGCAAGTAATTAGTGAGGGAGCAGACGATGCTACAGAGTGTGTTAGATGAAGTGGTTGGCTCCCTTGCCAACTGATTGCAGCAGATAGTGTTTTCTGCAAATGGCTTCATCATTATCTCCC